ATGGGGGTTCGTAACTTGAAGAAGAATCATGTGTGACTTACCCATGTTGCTACACGTTGTCCACCTGTACTAGTATCACCCAACTCTACAAGTGGGAGTGTCGGATAAAATTAGTTATCCGGAATAATGGAATACTGGTGATGTGCCGTCATGAGAATTGACCAATTAACGTGTGGTGTAGAACATGTGATACGCACGTGTGTTGTATGTTTTAGACAATCAGATTGTTGCAACAATCTAGTGGCTATCTGCGTGCCTTGGCTGTGATGTGACGAGGATTGTAATGAATGGTTCACAACTCAATTTACCACCTCCGAACTGAGCTAGTGTGTGTGTGTGTGTCGATTGATTTTTGTTAGCGTGATACGTATTGCTTATATTTATCTGATAAAGATTAGCGGTACGTCTCAAGGCATTTTTCTTCAGATACGGTAGCTTGAAGTGGTTACCACCACGGTGCTCCAGTACAAGTCGCATGGCACCCTGCAGGGTCAGGAAAACATTGGCCAGCTTCTCGCTCTCGAGAGTTTCGAATGCGATCATTGTTGACGCTATCACCTCATCAACGGTGTCACTCACAGTCTTGTACTGTAGAGTCTGGATATAGGCAAAGAAGCCAAGGTCAAGCACATTGAGGTCAGGACTGTTGGGGGCTGGCAGCGAACAACGAAAGTCCACCCGTCGGTGGAAACTTGAGCACGGGGTGGCATTGTCGATGGATCGGTGAGGCGTAGCGGTGTCGTGTTGAAGCACGACGCGCTTGGTGGTCAATGGACAATACCTGTAGTTTTTTATTCTCTTTTTTTTATGATATTCTGTATTAAATTTGGACAAATGATGAATTTTTGGGGTCACTTGGAATCCTTATAGTGACAGTAATAGCTAACAGAGTACAGAGTACTACACCTTTTCCCGATCAAGTTGGCACTTTGTTCCAATCAAAGTGGTTTGAATAAAAAACATAAATTTTGACAAGTTGTGGCACGTGGATAAGTTCCAATCAAAATGGATTTTGTTCCAATCAAAGTGGTCAATTTTTAGGCGCGATAAACACCCGCCAAGCCAAGGCCACACGAAGTACAGAGAATGCATTTCAGAGAGAGCATTCTCCTTTTTGCATCGCACTTCTCGCATGCCTGTACAAGGCAAACAAAAGCACGCTACAACCGAAGAAAAGACTCGAGTCCTCGCAGCGCACTCCAATGGGGAGAACTGGAAGGTCGTTGCCAAGCACAACGGCATCGCATTGACCACTGCCCGACGCATCGTACGCACAGGACAAGTTGCCCACCAAAAACGTGGCGGCGCACGCCCGGGACGAACCAAAGTCACGCCTGAAATCCTGGCAGCTCTCGAGCGCTATCTCGACACAAACTGTCAGTACACCCTCAGTACAATGCGAGACTTCGTGGCGCAAGACTTTCCAGGAACACTCATCTCAAAGCAAACAATCAGTCGCCACCTTCTCGGTATGCTCTATACCGTGAAACAAGTTCGCATCGAACCATCCACGTGCAACAGCGACACAAACAAGGCCAAACGAAAAGAATTTGCCGAAACTCTCGTCCAACATCAGCGTGACGGTAACTTTATTGTCTACTATGACGAGACCAACTACAACATCTACTGTCATCGCTCTGTTGGACGGTCTAAGCAAGGCTCTTGTGCCTGTTTGGTGCTTCCGCCATCGAAAGGGCCCAACCTGCAAATCCAATGTGCTGTGTCGCCTGTCGTTGGTCTGGTCTGCTATCGCATGGAGCGTGGAAGCATCAAGATGGAGCAGAACGCAGCATTTGTCGAAGAAGTTTACCGTGCATCGAAGAACTCGCCAGCGTACCAAAACCACTTTGTTGGGAAGAAGATCGTGATTGTTTTGGACAATGCCCCGGCGCACTCTCAAACGGAGCATCGTGTTGCGGCGCACGAGGACATGACTTTGCTGCGTCTCGGTCCCTACTCTCCAATGTTGAATCCCATTGAAAGTTGCTTCAGTGTGCTGAAAGCACATATTAAGCGCTTTCTTGCCGAGCGGACGAACTTACTCTTCGATCGTAGGGAGTTTCATTCGTACCTTGAAAGCCGCATGCGACTGCTCGAAGAAGCTGCCACGGAAAGCCTCCCCTGCATCACTCAATCTTTAGTGATTCGCGAAGCGATGTTTTGCCAACGCAATGTCGAGAAGGCGTTGAATTTGGAGAATATGTCCTATGGAACGTAGTTGCGCCACATGGATTGGAACAAAAACCAAATTGAATGGAACATTGCACGTTTTTTGTAACAATTTTGTTTGTTTCGAATGTTTTTTATTTTTTATGGCCACTTTGATTGGAACAAAGTGCCAACTTAATCGGGAAAAGGTGCAGTATGTACTATGGTATCAGTTTTGCACGATATTACTTTCGCGCGAATATAACCTCTCTTAAATCAAATAAGTACTGACTGCATAATCACATATGACTTTTGGCCTCAGTTGCGACTTCAGAGGACGATTCCATGCGACTCGGCAGGTTGACACGTGGGCCCGTCAACCCGCCGACGTCGAAACAATGGTCTGAGCGTAGAGATTTGGAAATTCTCCCGAGCCGCCTTCCACATATGTGTGTTAAATTGATTGTTTACGTTATGGTTCAGAGAATAGATTCGGCTGAAAACTCGTTTCAATTTGGTCTTCTATATTTCAATTGCGCACAAATCACTATCTTCGGTAAAACGAGCATATCCCACAATTATAATATGCAGTGTGAATTATATTTTCACACCATACACGCAGAATCTGTTAATTCGAATCGGTTGTCGAGCAATTGCACTGGAAAAAATGGACGCAAATCGGACCAAAAATGGTTCTAAAAGTCGATGCACTAACGTTACCTTATTAGTACTGTAGCTATTAATACTATACGCACTAGTATAGTAACTACAAGAAATAGTATCTCAGTGTTGAAAACGTTGAAAACATAAAAATACCTCTCTGATCGTTGAGCCTTTGATACCTTCACCACCAATTTATAGGCCAATCAGAGTACAACTTCAATCATTTTTCGAACCGCGTGCATCTGTTACCAAACAGAGCTTTTTTCGAGTTGATGACGTCGACAATTGAAATAATTATATTGGTCATACTCCGCACAAGCAACAAGCAAAATTTTTATTGCGGATGGGGGAGATCACAATCAATTATTGGGTTCAGTTTACAATTATTGTATTTATCCAGCACCTCGCAAGCAATTAATTACTATATATTTTCTGTATTTACATTTTAATTGACGAAAAAATGATTGACAATTGAATATAGAAAATAATTTATTTCAAAGCGCTGGACAATTGATTGAACGAGATCCAAAATAGTTTTATTTGAGCCAATGAGCCAACAATATTTGATCTTATCACTTGTATGAAATACAATTGTTCATTTAAATAATGGTCAATTCGAGAATTAAATATTTAAATGCAGGAAGCAATACAATAATTGTATTGGCCATATACGCTGCAATACAATAGTTAATTGTTTTACTCCGGAATTTTGCTAAAAAGAATATTTTTCCCATACCCTATCTAATACTACCGGTACTGGAGATAGAGGATACAACTAACAGTAAAGTACTATTAATAGTACTAACGTTTCACGTTTCACTTGACGTTCTACCGTGTGCCGTTAGCGACGATGATATCGGGCTTAAAGTGTGCTTAGTTCATCCGGTCCAGGGTATAACGACCACACTGCAGTAGGTGTGCGTGTTGGACATGAACTTTTCAACCTAAGCAATTGTATTCGATACCAGTATAATTAAACGTATACTAAAACGTAGTTGAACTTCAATTATAGTAGTACTAATTTTGACTTCATGCCGCTCTAATTCCTTTCGATACACATGTATGGACTAAGTGCCAATGGCGACATTGTGTATAATGACATGGAGAAATATGGATACATTTGAAGTGAACTGTAAAAATTCGTTCCTCCAGAGATAGGACCCGTGACGCAGGAGGCCTCCCGACTAATCTATTTAACGCGTTTTTTATATATTCAAATTTGGGTGCAATTAGTCCATTGAATCCGTCACAAAAAACTACACTTACGGGAGCTACTGACTGACAGTGAACGATGTATGTTCTGGTTACCGGAAGTATTAATAAGTTCTGTGAACGATGTCTGTTTTGGTTACCGGAAGTATTAATACTTCCAAGTAGCAAATACATACTCCATGCTTGGATGTGACTGTATCGATGAATCGACAAATATGGTTTGACATGTACTAGTACTAGTAGTTAGAAGTATTTTGCTATGGTGTCACTGACAGTCCACACTTTCACTGACAGTCTGTCAGTGTAAGTTTAGCGTGCGTCTGGTAACCGGAAATATTGCAATATTCAGGCCCAAAACGCCATTTTGATTATTCAACAAATATGATCAAATTTGAAACATGTGACATACTTGAAGGGTTTTAACCCAAATCCAATAATTCCACGTGGGATTTACTCGTTGAAGAGGTCCAAAACCCCATATTACAAAATGGACCTTTTACCTCCATTTTGAAAATGGCATATTGGTTCATCCCATTTTGCGAGAAAATGGAATATTATTTTTGAAATGTTACCAGACGCACTCTTAACCAACCAGTGGAGATGCGATTTGCGCGTGGTGCTGGGTGTTGCGAGCCCCCCAAGCGGTTCGGAACGGCCATCCATGGTGGTGGCGATGGCCAAGTCCTTGGCATGGGACTACTTGATGGTCAAGGTCTCCTGCAGTAGGTTGTACTTGTATTTGGTGTCTCCATACATGTCCAACAACTTCAACGTGTCGTCCAGCAAACGTTTCTCAGCGACTTGTCCAACGAGCACTTGTGCGTGTTCACGAACCCCATGGTTCTCATGGTTGGAACTAACCAGGGTGCAAAACCAGTACAATGGGCTGTCCTTAAAGCGTACGCCCGCCAAGCGATATTCGCTCCGCGTCGTCGGGTCTCTCCGCAAGTACTATCTCGGCATCACGTTCACGCAGTACTGCTGGGTCTATTTCACCCGATCGTTTGAAGTGGCCCACACTGCCAAACGCCAAACGCTGTGCCAGGTTCAATACAATGTCAATGCAGCCGTGTACTGTACCCAGAGTCAAATGTGGTGAAGTATGCAGGGGGGATCAATTCATCCATATACATGTCTGCAATCCAAGCGACCATCTTCGACGCGCTCTATAAATCCGAATCTAGTCGTGCGTGGGTGTTTCAGGCCTTGTACGACCATCAGTGGGGCTCGGTCGCTAACGATGTTGCCGTGTGGCAGGCCCATGGACTCACGTCATTTGTGTGCCAGTCACAAAACCTGTACCAGTATGGCATCCAAGACACGATTACGATTTTGAATGCGTTAAATATGGAGCAATCGATGCGATGGGGGACGATGATCTAAGGACGAACGATTACTAACTTCGCTCCGTGGAGGTTGATCCTGTCCCGTCAACGTGGCTGGGCATGCTGTTTGCCGGGGGGTCCTCATGTGTGTCTACAATGACCTGGTCCCGTTTGTCCAGGACTCGTTTGGGCACAACGACGCATGCCAGGTGCAAAAACCGTTCAAAGTCAAGTTGCAGCCCAACAGCATCCTCTTTGCATTTCTCGCCCGTCCTCCCCGTCGTTCAGTCCGTCGGCTGCGTGTAACTTGTGCGGTTCCGACGACACCGCCCAACAGTGCACGGCAACAATTCAATTCACGCAAGGTCAATTTCGTGCGTTTCTGCATCCTGCCATGAACGCCATTGAAATCGAGGCTGCGGTCGTCGCATTTGACCCTTCTCGAAGGTCACTTTACACTGTTGCCATTCTCGAAGGAGAAGCCACATGGATCACGTTTGTATTACATGATCTGTTTGTGCCGTTTATCTCAACCAACGAAATGAGCTTGCTGCACGTTGATCACGTGGGTGGGGCTGACAGCGTTGGAACTTCTGTCGCCTGTATGTGCTACGATCTTGATCAATCGAGTGTGCGAGATACGAAGTTCCAGCCTCGACGCAATGTGCCAAAGCGGCAACGTTCAGATCGGAAGCCCTGGTCAGCTTGGGACGTTGTTGACCATCCAATGCACATTGTGTCGATATTTTGTCGTGGGCTACATCTGGCTGCTTCGTTTAACCAGCAGCAGTCCCCTCGCCGACGCCCCCAGTCTTCTTTTACCAGCGACGGCCGTCGCGCAGATGCCGTCGCTTGTGCCATGGGGGGATGATTACGCTCGGCAAGTTTGTGTTTGATCTCAAGTTGTGGATGATATATCACCCGCTGCGTCACGAACGTGGCTCGTACACGTTTGCATCCACGATCTTTCAGCAGCCAACCAAAGGGGACGATGCACCCCTGGAGAATGAGTCCACCGTTCGTCGTCGTCGCCGCCTTCGCCTGCGCGCGTGAATTGGGCTGGGCTACGTGATCACGACTATCACGGGCAGCTACAGCTACCTCGATCTGTCGAAAAAGGAATTTTCAAACGATTACCTATGGACATCGTTTGACGTACGTGGCCAACTGGTACAACAACAACCTCCAAATGACAACGGCCTTGTCGCTGCAACTGACGTCGAGAGCCTTTGGCGACCTCTCGCTTCCGTACAACTCGTCGGAGCCGCCAATGTTGATGGCGCCGCTGTACGTGTCGTCCATTCGCATCAATACGCTGACCAACGTTGTTCAAAGTTTGCGTCGAATGGATGGCTGTGCGCTGCCGTGGAACCATTCGCCCTATTGCTATGTGGATTTCAATCGACGGTGGGAGATGGCCGCCACAAGTGCGCGTCAGGTTCGATGTTAAAACGAATGGCAAATTGGCGCCGTGTACGACGACGCTGTGCTGTGCAACGCAAAATGACCAACTGCGGACTTGTTGGGGCGACCCCAATGAAATCGGCTTGTTTGCGTACTTAAACGTTCACGGAGGGCCAAGATGGATGGCTGCGGTGCAAAGCAACGTCAATTCCGTCGCCGGTGAGGTGCAGTACTGGCAAGCCCGAAATGTTACGCACTAATGCTCGTTCCGCAAGACCTCGTCGATGTTGTCAAACTTGCCACCGAAGTCTTAGGTGGCGTCGGTGCCCAACAGGAATACTTGGGCGCCCCGGTCGTGTCTGGCTTTGACAGCATGCCATCCGCATGGGATACCTATGACGTGGTGGCGGGCAACACTCTTTGCGGTGTGGGGAAAGGTAACCTCCAGACAGGGCGCTGCTTTCGCTCTTTTCGATTGAAGGGTCGTGTGGCTCAACGGGGCGCATTTGCTCCTACCGCTTGTGGCGTGGATCATGCGAGATCCATCCCTTATCAATCTCACGATTCTTACCGACTGTTCACCAGGTCGTACACGCCACGGTATGCGTCGAAAAGCAGCTCCGCGGCGTGGGAGGTGGCCATCATGTGGACGTTTGTCCTGCCAGCGACCCATCGAGTGTCGATCCATCGGGTGTGCGAAGTGGCGGCGTTGGACTTCAGGTCGTGTGCCATGCCGAAACCTTGTACGTACATTGGTCAGTTCAGTCGGTTTGTGGGCTTGATTGCGGCGGCGGTGGCCATGACCATGTTATGCTATCCATTTGAACGCTTGTGATTTCGTCTTCGCAACGCACGATACAAGCACATCCCGTCGCTGCTTTTGTATTGTGCGGCCGATCACCAGTTTAAACGAGCGGACTAGGTTTATTCAAACGTGTATTATCTGGACAAAGCGTCCGCGGCAATCGCGGGCGTTTGGCTATCGAACAAGGAGGAAAAGTACTTGTACTTGTTTGACATCAAGATGTGGCGAACGTACAAGTGTTTGACGATCGGCATCGACCAAACCCTCTTCAAGATACATCCATATACCGAGCATACCATTCCCCTACTAAATCAATAGTGTTGCAACCCAACACTTCCGAAGTTTCGAACTACCACATCCAACCTGTTGGCGTTAATACTTATAATGCTGCAACGTTACTGTACACATCAACAAGTCGTCGAATCGGAAAGTGTCCCACAAACGAACGGTCGTACACCATCCAACATGTCACAGAAGTTCGTACATTCACAGAAACTAGCTTCGTCTCATGGTTTAGAAACTTGCCCAGACTGAAGAACCTGACTTCGTCCACGTAAGACTTCTTTGAAATGTCGGTCGATGCTACTTGAACCTTGTACCTTCCACTGGTAAAAACTCCAATACAATTTGCATGTCTCGTTGGATTTGCGCCCAACAGCTAGCTGACTGCGTTTTCCTTGTATACGGTATGTCTAGATAGTACAGTGTCACATGGTGATGGGCTACCTACCGTAGCTACACTTTCCCACTTCGATCGATGTAGGTTTGCTACAGCTGCATAATGGTCCTCCTGGCCTCGTATACTTATATTAATCGGTCCATTTCGAGACCCATATGAATGATCACTTTCTCTACACCTTGGCCACTTGCTTGCGAATCTCTTCGACTAGCATCGGAACGTTCTCCACGTCGACGTTGTTGCGTTCACAGAACTGGTTGGCGACGTCCACGGCGTTGTCGCCGTCATGGAACGGCAACGCGGCGTTCCGTCCTTCGCCCAAGTCAATGTCGAGTGTGAACAGAAGCGGCGCCTTCTCCACCGGAACTTGGACTGGGGACTGGACACTCTGCGCCGCCAGCTCGTCCACCACCCGAGTGATGGTCTGGAAAATGTACACTTTGCACTGCTGCACCTCTTCGTCCGTCACAGTGCGGCCAAACGACGCCGTGAGTGCCGGAATCTTGGACGTGCAGAATTCTGTGGCGACTGCGCCAGGGTTTTCGTGGTCGTAGTAGGCCAGGTCGTACGTGGCACCTCCGAGGGTGATGGGGAGTTGAAACAGCGGCTCCTTCGGACTCGTGTTGGCCGCCATTTGCTGGTCGAGTTCCTGGATGCCTTTGCGGAGCGTGAGTGACAGTTCCGTTACAAAGGCGGCGTAGTTGGGGTTGTTGGTCAAGCCGTGCGTTTCTAAAAACAACTGGGCGGTCAAGTCGAGGCTGTCGCCTTGATAGTAAGTCAACTGGTGCACTTGGTCGCCAATGGTGATGGGAACGGACAGCAGCGGCGACCGCGTCGCACCGGCGGCGGTGGCTTGTTGTGGAACGGCGGCGGCTTGTGCGTCGGCCAACTGACGGACCTGGTTGTTCAGCACTTCAACCAGCTGCGGCAAGTACTCGTTCACCGTGTTGGGGTCGGTGATGCCGTTCTGGTAGAGGAAGGAGAGCGCCGACTGCGTCGGCGTCCACCCTTCATAATGCACTAGCACGACGGCTTGGTTGTTGACGGTCAACGGCACGGAAAACAACTCGGTCTGGGATGTTGTTGTTTGGGGTTGTGTAAGCTCGTCGATGCGTTTTTGGATTTCTTTGGCCACGGTTGGCAACAACTGCCCGAGGAACGTTTCGTCTGTGACACCGACCCGGGCCGCGAACTCGCGGGCTTCCACCAGTGGATCCGCGCCTTGGAAATGCTGCACCACGGCACTTTGACCGTCGATGCTAATGTCGAACGAGAATTGAGGTTCTTGGGCGGGCGCGTTCAATTCAGCGACTTTGTTCGCGAGCACCTGCAACAGTTGGGGCGCTGCTTCCAGTTTGAACTCTTCTGTCAGCGCAGCGTCCCGAAGGAAGCGAGAGACGGCGTCTGAGATCGGCTCGTCGCGGAACAGAGTCAAGGATGTCTCGACGCCGTCGATCGTGAGTGGCACAGTGACTACAATTTCTTTGGGCGGGGCTGGTTGCTGCTCCGTGACCTTTTCGCGAAGCATGCTGGCCAACTGAGCAATCACGTCTTGGGAGCGTTGGGACTCGACACCGTCGGCCACGAGCCCGTTCAACTCCATAAACGAGAGCGCGGCACGCTCAAACGTCTCCCCGCGAAGGAGCTGCAGGTTCTTGAGGTTGCCGTCGACATTTACGGGAAGGGAGACGAGGACTTCTCCGGCGCACAACGAAGCGGCCAACGTCGAGGCGAGGAGAGTAAGCTTCATCGTTGAGGGGGCGAAGGATTTCAAGTGTGAGGAGCACAACACTGCAAGATCGCAACCATGGAAAAATAGAAGATCGCGCGGCGGGTCAAATGGAGCGAGCCAATCGGTGCCGACGCGATGTCGCCGCTCGACCAATCACAACACGTGGTTTGGATCCATAGTGTACATCTTGTACTACTTTGTACTGTAAGTGCAAAATACACTTTTCCCTTGCTATTTATCGTACAACCGTACATTCAATGTACGACAATATACGTACGATAGCAGTCGACGTACAAGCAACTTGCGAACTGCAGCGAACGCTCGCTGCATATTACAAAGTGTACACGTGAAGAGGTCGTGACTTGCCGTATTGCGATAGGATTTGTATGGGATGGTTGCTGCATATTACAAAGTGTACACGTGAAGAGGTCGTGACTTGCCGTATTGCGATAGGATTTGTATGGGATGGTTGGGTATCACAGTCTATCGGTTGGTTGTTCAATTGAAAAGCCGTGAACCAGTTTCGGCAGTTGCCCACTTCCAAGGAAGTTCCTTGGACGACGACGTCGAGATTGCATTTTGACGACCAGCAACAAGCAAATGAAACGATTTCCACAGTTACAACACGATATACCCACAATTTATAACACGGCGTGCGTAGTGGAGTTGCCTTGGTCGTCCTGGAGCAACGGCTCATCGTCGTGTGCGACGACGGCACGCTTGGAGCCTGCAGTGCTGTGCTGAAACGTCGTCAAGATCGTGCCTTGGACTTTGGCTTGCTTATCGAGGTGGCGCTGGAACGTTTCCAATTCCGCCGCGTGTTTGCTGGCTTCGGCTCCGACAAGCTTGGCGCCACGGGAAGAAGTCGCCGGCAGCTTTTGGTCCGACGACGTCGATTGAGATACCATCTCGGAAAACAAACTGTCGGGGGAGTCCACTAGGCTGTCGTACGTGCCAATTTCCGCGACCGCGCCCTTGTCTAGCACCAAAATCAAATCGGCATTGCGCGCCGTCGACAGCCGATGCGTAACCTACACAAGGTAGCCACGAATCGTGGTCAAAGTGATATAAACTGTCCAGTAGTAGTATTATGAATTCGTTATAAACTTCCAAACTTTCGCGTGGTTTGTCTAATCAATATTGAATCACGCTGGAGTTCTGATTGGTAGAATATCCTTGTCCTTTCTGTAAGAGCCAATCAAATCCACGGTTCGTTCAATCGAGCACAAACAGAGCCGAGAGACATCTGATTGGCCAATATCCACTTTGCACTTTCCAGTCGAAAATCGAAAATGGATTGTAGCCAATCAGCGACAAGTAATTTCGGGTTGACCAATGGGAGAGATTCGTGCCCGGATGATTGGCCGGCGAGATTGATTCGATTGAACGGGGTCCGGAAATTCGTACCGAAGCTCCAATATATATATATATCATATACACAGTGTATATATATATATATATACTACATCCAAACGCAAGTTTAGGCTTTCAAGGAAACGGTCAACGTACACACACGACACGACATATGGACTACTCATAGAAATACATACCGACAGAATCGTCATGTGAAAGTTCCGCGCCAACGTCTCCAACGTGCGCACAATCGACGCTTCGGTCTCTGGGTCCAATGCACTCGTGGCTTCGTCAAGCAAGAGCAAGCTGGGCTTGCGCACGAGGGCACGGGCCAAGCAAATGCGCTGCACTTGGCCGCCGCTCATGTTGCACGTGGCGTGCTGACCCATGATGGTGGCGTACCCCTGGGGCAGCTTGGCCACAAACTTGTCGGCTTCGGCCCACTTGGCGGCTTCAATGCACTCGTCCGTGGATGCGTTCTCGTTGCCGTAGCGAATGTTGTCGAGGACAGAGCCGTTGAGAATGCCTCCGTCTTGAAATACCACTGCAATCTGGGCCATGACACTTTCCTTGGAGTACCTAACCAAATAATACATGAACATGAGGATGATCCAAGTATATACTTGCGTGATTGAGGATATATATATATATTCGGGACATACGCTTGAATGTCGACGTTATCGATGGCAATGGTGCCCGACGTGATGTTATTGAACTGCATCAAGCAACTCAAGAGCGAACTTTTGCCGCAACCGCTGGGACCCACGAGGCACGTGTACGCGCCTGCAGATAGATGTATACGGTGAGACCAGACGACGGTAGATGACACCGGCATGATCGTGTATGTACCCTTTGGAATGGTGGCATTCAGTTGGTTCAACACATTTGCACCGCCCTTCTTGTACTGGAACGTGAGGTTTTCAAAGCTCACAGACGTTTCCATGGGGGGCATCGCCGTCCCGAGCGACGACGACGACGACGTGGACGACGGCAGCAGCGCCAAGAGCAAGTCCAGGCGCTGTAAGCTGGACGCGTTGCCGATCGCCACACGCATGAATCCGCCTGCGAATACAGGCACATGCATGCTTTCAACCAATGTGTGACGATGTTTAAAATAATAATAAATTAAATATAAATATTTTTTAATAAACATATTTCAAATAATAAGAATTTCAAATAAAAATTAAAAATTAAAAATTAAAAATAAACTGATAATATTTTTATTGTTAAAATAACAATAAATTAATTCAATGTAAAATGAATTTAAAAATGTGTTGATATATATACACGTGACATACCCAAGATCGTCACGGGGGACGATACGCGGGCCAACATGGTCACAAACGCAAAAAACTGTCCCGAAGTGAGTTTGCCCTGGCGCACTTGAATCGCGAGCGACGCGGTCATCACAGCCACAAACACGTACATGGCCGACTCGACGTAAATCTGCACAATGCCAGACCAAAAGTCCTTGCGGAACTGCGCGCTCTTCAGCGTATCCACAACACTGCGGAACTTGCTGAGCAGTGTTGGCTGCAACGCATACGCCCGCACGACCTAGAACAAGCTCAACCATCCACATGATCCAAATACCGTGGAGAAACATATACTGTATCGGTAGTATTGTGAAAATTCGCTATAAACGTCCAAACTTTGTGTGGTTTGTCTACTATATATTGAATCACGCTGGAGTTCGTTCTGATTGGTTGAATATATATACTTGTCCGTTCTGTAAGAGCCAATCAAATCCACTCAAGAATGGATTAGCCACTAGCGTCGATTCATGATTCGATTCGATTATTCAGCGGCGAGATTCGACAGGGTCTGGAAATGTATTTGTACGGAATCCACAATATAGTATTCAACGGTATGTATACCTTTTGGCACGCGATCGCATTGGCAAAGTCCGATGCAACATATGCATTCTGAGACCCAAATGCTTTAGACTGCTTGGCCGCATACCCTTGGGGCCCCGACGTAACGAGGACGAACGCAAATGCAAACGCGAGGAGCCCCAGAGGAGGCTGGGCGTAGAGGAGGTAGCCAAAGCCAAAGAGGATGGACACGAGGGGGTTGATGAGGTTCCAGAACACAGCTTGCCACAGGCCATTCACTCGGGCCAAGTCAGACCCGAACAAGTTGTTCAAGTCCCCATCTGACCGCGTGGCGAAAAACGATGTGGGTTGGCTCAAGATTGTGTGCAGCACGTCGCCCTGCAGCTGCGCCGTCGCTTTCGAAATCATTTTCGACTGAAAGTACCTAATGTTGTTACCCAATACGAATGGAATCAGATACGACTTGGATGGAATCAGAATCAGACGCCGAGTATGTCCGTCTCGACGTACCCAATCATCGCGTCGCCCAGTGCAAACGGAATGCACAGCGCCAAGAGCCCTGCGACACCGTACACCAACGCCGTGTCTTGGTCCATTTTCGAGCTGGGAAGGAACGCTTGATCAGCCAACAAGTTGAGAAGCAGCGCTTGCACAGGATTGATAGAGGCATTCACGCACACGACCACCACGACCATGAGCAAGTCGCATGTTTGGCCCGACCAGTGGCGTAATGTGGACGTCACCACGTCCACGGCGCCGTACGAGTACGTGGACGCGTCCAGGTCGCGCAGGTAGCTCAGGAACTCGGACACAGAGCACTCCTTGGGGCGGTACACGAGCGCGAGTTCGAGGAATGTCATGAGTTTGGGGCGGGATATGTCGCCGTCCGCATTGCCGGCGATCTGAGTCAGTTTGCGCTCCAACGTGAGGATGTCATCGACGGCCATGCCTACCGAAAGATCGTCGTTGTTGGGACGAATTGCATAATAACATATATAAATAATAGAATTATACAATATATATACATATATACATATTTTAAATGAAAACGGGGATACGAAGGGATAATACCGAAAGACCGTCGTTGTTGGGCCGAATTGCATAATAACATAACGTTATATAAATAATAACATATATAAATAATAGAATTATACAATATAGACATATAAAATATATATATTTTTAAAGTGAAAACGGGGATACGAAGGGATAATACCTGGGATTTTGTACAAGCTGGCGCGGACGCTACCGACGGAAATGTGAATTTTCTCAAACCCGGCGCGAAATTTGTGGAATTTTTTAGAAAACACGCGCGTTTTCGGCTTGACCACGATGTGCAGCGCCGTGAGGATGAACGACGCCATGGTCCACCAGAACACGCCGTGGAGTCTATAGTACCGAAAGTAGAGACACACAAGGAGTGCCACGACCACGACAAAGTCCAAGATCGCAGCGAACGACTGCAACACGGCGCCACGCAGCGACAACAGGCGCAACCCCATGTCCAACACGTACAACACCATGCACGAAGCCGAGATGGCCCATGTGAGGCGCAAGTAGAACTCGAAGTGGCCAAGTTCCTCGGACACGAACGACAAGAACGCCATTTGTGCGATGAAGTCGACAAACAAGATGGCCATATACGCGTAGTGCCACTTGCGAATGTCGACGACGTGCAGCGTTCCCGCTCGTCGGGCCCACGAGCCTCCATCCAGCGACTTGGAGGACACCGTAGTGGCGCCATATGTCGTTGCTTCTGGAGCTTGCAAGTTCACCTTCACCGAGTCGGCCATGACGACGGCACGTCCGTCCTTGGTAGTCAATGAAAAAGTGATCACTGCGGCATGATGCACATTGACACCCGATAAAGTGCGTATTGCCATCACAAATATAACACAAAAATGAACTGTAAACAGTTGGATAAACCACTTTTATTGCTACTTCTACGTATTAAAATATTTCTTAGAAGTAGCACAAATAATGATATTCACTAACTCGCACTTACAACGGTGCGTTTTTTATCCGGACACAGATATCCGCCCCAGGCCGCATGGTCACTAGACGGTAAACTGACATGCTATTTATCCGGATAACGTTGTTTCTCCTTGCATTCTGCAGGATTGTGAACAGAAAATGGTTGCGAGCGATGATGGGAGCCTCGAGCAGTTCACGCTGTTGGCCAAGACAGCGCGAGGACGGGCGTGCGTGGCATTGATCCAGCAAGTACTGAGCAACAAGAAGCTGTTTGTGTTTGGTGAACTTCTCGATATGCCGAACGTCAAGGCATTGGCGGAGAGCGACCAGACAGACCAGCAAGGCCATGCGCGGCTGTTGGCCATCTTTGCGCACGGTCGGTACCTTGACTATGTTCGTCAGAAGGAAGACGCGACGTTCCATATTCCGGACTTGAACGCTGCCCAGGCGCTCAAGCTACGGAAGTTGACGGTGGTGTCGCTGTGTCAACAACACAAGTCGGTACCGTATCGGATCTTGATGAGGGAATTGCAGATCAGCAGCGTTCGGGACGTCGAGGACATTGTGATCGATACCATCTACTCGGTATACGACTTCCTCGTTATCTCGATGCGCCTCATGGCCGACAACAGGGGCTCGTGGAAGGCAAACTCGACCAAAAGAATGAAGTGTTTGAATCGAGCTATTCCGTCGGGCGCGACGTCCAGCCGTCGGACATTGACGATATGATCCTTCGACTCACTCAATGGTTTAACCCTTCCATCTTTCATCTAGCTTATGTTGACACCACAGGCAAAACAACGCGAAACAAGCCTGCCTCCACATCGACCAAGTGCTCAGGTGCATCCACACATATCTCTCTGTGTTCTTTCATATACCTGACCACTACTTCACGCAGCCACGCGACGGCGGTGGAAGCGGAGAAGGCCGAGCGTGACCTGTCGGTGAAGAACACCGTCGCAGCCGTACGCCTTCAGGCCAAGGACCGCCATCTCCCAGGGAGCGATGTCGACCCCGAACTCATCTACGGCGACGGCCATGGCGGATCCTACCACCGCCCCATCTCTGGACCAGGGTACAGTCGCATGATAGGTGCAATCTCGGTGTCATTATCAATGATTGGCGTGTAGTGCCAATGGCAAACGTCGCATGGGGTCCGCCGCCACGCGCAAAGTGCCCCGCAACTAACTACTAATCCCATGGAACGAACAACATGACATTGGGGTAGTCGGGTTTTATTACTAACTTAAGTTAGCTTGTTATAAATACATTGTGTGGTGCTTCCATCGAGTAAAGGACTAGTTACTACAGTACATCAGCGACGTTGTGCGTTTGGCGAACACGTCCACGGCCGCCAGCATGTTCTGCCACATGCTTCGCGGTCGCGTGGGGGCAGCAGGCCAGGGCTGAGCTTGTAGCGCCACGAGCGCCGACGTGTCCCCCTCGGTCGAAGGCGGGGGGCGGCAGCGAAACGGCTCGTGGCCAAAGTTCAGTCGCACCGTGTAGTCTGCATCGATCCCCACGACAGGGAACAGCTCGTCATGGAGACAAGGAAACGTGCCGCCTAATGGAACCGATGTAGCATATGTATATCTTGATGAAGTACGTGGAACTGTAAGCAGCATATCGTACCGAGCCGCTGGCCATTCTTGGTAAAGTACAATATCGAGTCGTGGGTGGTCATGTCGCGCTGGATGCCGCAGCCAATCGTATCGTGCATGCCAAAGGTCGCGGCGAACGGGTGTGGCTACACGTCAACGTTGATCACGTCATGGAATCAGATATGCGTGAAATGTGACATACCTGGCCACTGGTAAAGAAATGACCGTCGTCGCTGTGGTACCCGTACGAATTGTCGTCCCATCCTGCTCTCAGCATGTGACGAGGTTGCAGCAGGTGGTACTAGGGTACCTGGTTGTTGGTCGACCACTTCAAAATCGGGGGACGCGACGCCAATGGCAATGCACATGTCCAAAGTTGCATCGTCCCTAACGTGGACCAATCAGCAAAGTCAACGAGGAGAGGGCCGCGGAAACCTACCGCATGGGGTTGATGGGGTCGGCAATAGAGATTTCAAAGTAGCCGTCGTACACGACGTCGACAAACCACGTCCTGTCGGTTGTTTGGAACACGGCCACGCGCGGCGTCATCTCGAACGGAACGTTGGCGCGTACGCATCGGTTACCGCCAACGCCGCCCTTCGCCAACGCCATGGTCACGACTTGCCCGTTGTCGTACGCGACTGGTTCAATGCTGGAGAAGCACGTGAGACACATGATCGTCTTGGAAATGAACGAGTACCGGTGATTTGTGGTCGAAGCCGTCGCATGGGTGTTGGTCAAGCAAATGTCGGCAAACGAAGGCACGCGGTCGACACAGTGGGTGAGGAATCGGAAGGCATCGCTGGACCTACCATCGCGAGATATTAGTTCATACCTCATGAGAAATGAATGTCTACCGAGGATATGCCGCGCGCAGGGCTGGAGACAGTTGTATTCGCATACATGGATCCATAAAGAAGTTGGCGTGGTTCCAACGATGCCGAAAAAGCGCTTCCCACAGTGCTCCATGCTGCTGGAGGGAGTTGTGCCATCGCGACACGAGCGCCATCGCACGCAACTCCATGGGTTCCAAGTACTCCAGCGCATGCAGCAGGGCGTCACGTGGAAGGGTGTGCATTCTCGCTTGATCCGTACTCGCAAGAGTGCGTGCGTAGTTTGGATTGTGAAGGATGAAATTTCCGACGCTTCCGAACTTCAACGGCGAGTATCCGGATAAAACGTCAAGATGAGAACACCGCGAAGAACGACGTTTCGGCCATGCCAACAAGCAATAAGCAAAAGGATACAGATCCCTGGATGACTTGAATAGATGTGCATGCTACATATAACGTTAGTACAATGGATAAGACCTCGACCAAAGGGTACGCTTGTCTACGTATATACCGTCGACATGGGTGGTTCCAAGGGTGCATCGAGAACACCAAAGCTGAATCTCAATCAAATCAAACACATCGATTGATGTGAAGTTGCGATAATACTACTAGTACAGTACACGTAGTAATAAAGCACAATCGGTGGTGGATATACGTAATACTGTACTAACGTTAGTATGTTTGCTCAGGACTGTTCGTCTCTCGATGTCGCCGACTTCAAGATCACAAATGTAATCGTAGCTGGAAACAAAATCACTTGGATTAACTGTATTAATAGACGTAACCACTATTAATAATAACATTACGTGGAAGGATTAATTAATACTTCGAAGTATTACTTTGAATAATATTACATTAGTGTATTAGTAGAACTTACACGTACCGTATTAATTATACCGAAGAAACGAGACGACAAAACGTGTTGAACTGCCGTGACGTTCTGCATTCTGAAACCGTCACAGCTTTCCGAAACTGTTGCAAGTGTGTATCTGCATGTGGGCATGCATGGCCATCAGCGCATAGGTTTGAAAAACTAAGGGTCCTAGTTCTTTCACATGAAGCTTGTTGTTCTTCAGGGCTCGGTGTCAGCACCGTGTGCTATCTGGTGACATGGTTCACACTCTGCGACCAGCATTGGGCGTACGACGTTTCAAGCCTTACGTCGTTTGGGCTGTGGTCCTACACCGTAACCACATTTTTGTTCCCGCTCAATGCCAACCCTTTCTTGGGTTCTAGGGCACGGGAGTATCGATCAAGCTGGTCAACGCTGGCGCAGATAAGCTTGGCTTCGACGTGGTCACGCCCAGCTTACGCCCGAGCACGTTTGGGACGTTCTGGTACACAATTCAATGTTGTTTGTGCCTATCCTCCTTTTTCCAATCAATTAACAATGACTTAGCTCAATTCCCTCCATCCACACGCACGATCCATGGTGTGGCTCGGCCACGGACTCAGCACGCGCGTTCCACATCCTGGGCTTCTTTGCCGGCACCGTTAGCTACATCATTAGTACCCACGTCGTGTTCGAGCGTCCATATCCATCTTGGGATGGCGGGGGCGCCAAGGCGACGTTGCCTTGGGCTACATTTCTCTCGTTTTGGCACGGAGTATGCTCGCTGCTCGTTGTGTTGTCTTGGGGGCTGGCACAAGGTCAGTGCATTGCGCAGCAGAAATAGTTCCAACTATACGCTTGTCTAGAACCTCCTCACAAACCATATCATTGTGGTGTTGTAGAAGCCATGGATGTCATGTGCGTGGCCGACAACCTCACCAAGAAGCGCCCGTGCATTTCGGCTACGTTTACTTATTATGTGGTTGTTGGGAATGTTGTGGCACCGTTCTTTCTGTGGTGGTGGTGGCGGCATGCCCACCTTTGGCTCGTACGACTAATAACAGCTCAATCTATCCACATTTTTCTACTGATTGTTGTGACGTCGGGGTTGTACATGGTATAGGAAGCCAAGCACACGGGGGCATTGATGGACGGGTTTCTCTTGGCGGCGAAAACAGGTAAGTGGTGCAGTGTTATCAAAACCACTATTCGTAAGGTAACGTCTACTTGCAGACGACATTGACGAAATTCTGGGCCAAGTCGCAGCCAAAGCAGACATCAACGCGTTGGGATCTGACGGCCGCAACGCACTGCATTGGGCGTGTGCTCTCAACCGCAGCACTGTTGTGCATATTCTGGTGAAAAAGGGGGCCAACATTAGCCAAAAAGACGTACGATATCCGATTCTTTCGGAGAGGCTGACCATGATAATGTAGAGAGATGGATGGACACCGTTGCACTGGGCCAGGTACACTTTGCAGTTTGAGCAACATCAGACGACTGACTTGAAGCTGTGGTTGGTAGCCGCATGGGCAATCCAGACGTTGTTCGGCTGCTTGTCAAGCATGGCGCCGACGTGAATGCCAAAGACACATGGGGCACCACGCCGTTGATGCTGACGGTGCTGGGGAAAAGCAAGACTGGGGCACAGTGCCTCCTCGAGTTGGGGGCCAACATCAACGCGAGAAATGTACCCAGTGACTCTTGCTGATGGTCGTTTTGATGGGTTTTGGTGATAACGCTATAGGTGTTTGGTCAGACTGCCATCATGCTCTGCGTGGCAGAAGACGCAGAAATGCATGCGTTCGTGGTCATGCTGATCAACGCCGATGCGTCGCTGAAGACCCGTGATGTACGAAGCTTGTATGTTCCCACAACGGGGTGTTCCGTGTTTCTACCGGTAGTTTCAAGGCATGAACGTCCTGCACTACGCCGCGAGCGCGGGACTCAAAAATATTGTCCAAGCGCTAGTCGAGTGCTGCTTGCCCGACCAACTCGTTCAAGTGAACAAGGTTGTACTACATGTCCATCACTGCATAGTACACATCTTCCCCCCATAGAAGTCCTCAGTGTGCCCCTGGTCGAATAGTATGGTGACACGCCATTGGCCGAAGCCCGCCTTCGAGGACGCGCCAACACGGTGGCCCTTCTGGAGCATGCGATCGATCCAGCGTTGCCACCTCCAGAGTATGCAGCCAGTGAAGGCGACGAAGACCCCCGACCGCGGCACTCGACGACGTTGTCTACAGAGGCTGACGACTCGAATGACGACGAAACATGATATGTAGAGCACAAAATATCAAGTTTCAGTAAATAGTCGCGCTAGGCTAACTCTAATTTTTCCAACAAGAGCGAGGTTCCTTTTTGTGCCTTGTGCGCCGGCGTCCATTTGTTGCCCTTGAGGGCCTTGACCAAAGCTGGCTTTCCGCCCGCCACGTCGAGGAACGCGAGGAGAACGTACGCGCCACGGTTGGATTCCGCCCACTGGGAGACGCGGGACGCAGGTAGCGCCGCGAGAAGCGCGGGGCCGACCGACGTCGTGTGCTGGATCAGGCGCTGCAGGTGCTTGTGGGCGATGGCATCGGCGAACAGAGGTTCAAGGGTGCCATCGGTAGGGGTTTCGTCGTGGACGACGGTTTTCACGACCGCGTCAAGGAGCTCGGCATTATCCGACTGCTTGGTGACCTCAAACAAAACGTGGCCGCCGCTCTTGGAGCGAAGCAGCGCGTCAACGTCCCCGGCGCACATGGTTTCGATGGGGGTCTTGAGACCTGCCCACAGTTCATTGCGGCGGGTGTCGGGGTCCTTTTTGTAGTTGACCACGAGTTCGTTGGAATCGTTGTCGGCAGGGACCATGGGAGGTTGCAGCAGCGCAATTTCGTCCGGGCCAAGGTACTTGGTGTTGAGAGGCGAGAGCAGTTGGAGCAGGACCTTGCTGCCGTTCTGGTGCAACGCCACGCTGAGCCAGTGGTCTTGCAGCTCAGACAAGACCGACTTTTGAACCAACACGGTGTCATCCAACACGTCTAGCACGCGCAGCAGCACGAGGTACCCGCTGATGTGGTTGGTTGCTTCGAGCACTTTGTCCTTGAGGGTCTTGATCACGCGCTTGCGATCTTTGGCATTGCCCAATGACAAGCACTTGACCACGACCTTGGCTCCGGCGCGAGTCGCCAAGAGCGCCACCGCCGCGTCGCGGATGTTAGGGATCATGGCATTGACCTGGTCCGGGGATGCCACCGTCAAGTACTCGAGCATCAAAGCTTGCACGAACGCAAGGCCGAGCAGCTGCTTGTCCACCATCCGGTTGAGCACGTCGGCCACGTGCGTGAGGATCTCCTGCTTCTTGGCCGGCGATTGCTCGACCACGTCCGCCAGCGTCTTTTTCTTGGCCTCCATCTCCGACTTGAAGTACGCAAATTCCTTGCCGTAAAACTCGAGCTTGAGCCCGCTCAGCTGGCGCGGCTGCAAAAAGTCCTGCGCGCACTCCAAAATGGTCGCGGCCACGTTGTGCGTGGCGATCTTGACCACGCTGCCCGTGAGCTCCTTGACAATCAGCGCGCGGTCGTCCTTGGACCCGTACTTGAGCATCTTGGTCACCAAGAAGCACCCGTACTGGAGCTTGGCCATTTCCAGAATGTGTGGCAGCATCTCCTTGATCGTACTGCTGCGGTGCGCCACCGTGCCGTACTTGAGCAGCGACTGGATCACACGCGACGCGTCATGCTTGGCGGCAACGTCGTGAATTTTGCCAGACACCAAGTGGAACAATTCGTCCACAAGCGGCACACGCTTGACCTTGTCAAAGTCGCGCTCACGAATGAGGTTCCAGATCTCCTTGGCGCGCTTCACCATCTCGTAATGCGGACTACTCATCTTGCGCTGCAGCTTGTAGTCGACAGGGGTCGCGGACTTGTCTCCCTTGCCCTGCCAAGGTTTCTTGTCGCCGTCCTTTCCTTGCCAAGGCTTCTTGGCACCATCTTTTCCCTGCCAAGGCTTCTTGTCTCCATCCTTGCCTTGGAATGGCTTCTTGGCACCATCCTTGCCCTGCCAAGGCTTCTTGGCGTCTGTCTTCTTGAAGGATGGTTTGCCATCAGCACCACCTGCCTTTTGCGCTTTGGACGACGCGTCCTTTGTCTTGAAGCTGGCGTCCGAGGCCGACCGCTTCTTCGGGTTCGTGTCTTGAGGCGCCATCTTGTGTTTGGAGTAGCAAAACTGTGCTGCTTCAAACAAGGATTGGATTCAACATTAACACCTCGGCACCAGTCAAATCGGCGCGTTGGATACCGGATAAAATAACATTTATCCGGATGTACGACGTATATGATTCACCCTTCAATATTGAAGTTATCACGAAGGCGGCGGGCTTGGGCAGTCGTATTGTAGCCCACTCAGTGAAGTTTGATGGCACCTACGTATCTAAGCTGAAGCAATGACGGTTGGCGCTGTATTTCTTCCCACAATAATATATATATATTGCTACGAGCAAAGCTGTTGGGTTAACGTTATGGCATTGCATGCATGGCAGAGTTGACGAAGGACAATTCATCCAGGTGTCATGCTTATCCGACAAAATGCTTTAAAGTTGCGCTCTCAGTCCACTTACCGGCTATCCAGTCCTGAATACACACTTTCAAACTGTATTTAGGAGTCCCAATAATGGGGCTTGGTCCGTTGACGCCTCGTCGCACATCCCACCCCACGAAGTGCACTTTGCAAGTTCTGCAACTCGACACCATGCCGCTTCGGTACTTTGAGTCCGTGGACACACTGCGACGCTGGGGGCTGACGTTCGACGACAACGACAAACTGCACCGCTGTCGCATCGCCCTTCGTCTGGCGGCGTTGAAAATCCCCGAAGGCTGTCGCTACGGCCTGGCGCTCTTGGTCGATGCTTCCAACACCATGGAAATCGACGATCGTACGTCCCCCCCCCGTCTTTCTCTTTTGTTTCACCGGTGGATGTGATGTAGTGAGCGCTTTTGCAATCAATGCGTACAACCAAGACGACCCTACCAAGGTCGTAGCTGCGTTTATCACTGACTTTCCCGAACTGGTCGACACAGAGAATCGAGTCGTTCACCGCCAGCATGTGGGGCAGCTCTTGGTGAGCGAAAAGGCGGCGTGGGGGCGCCACCTCCACCTTGGGCATCAGAACATGCCAAAGCTGCTCATCTCGGGGCGCTTCGAGTCGCCGCGGTTGATCTACTCGACAGCTGCCGAGCTCATGCACCACATGAACTCGGGCACGGACAAGTCGAGCGATTGGTTCTTGAAGGACTTGGTCCCGTGCAACGGTTGGTTTTAGGTGTTGCTGTCGTGAAAGCAATATCATCCATTCCATGAGAGATAAATACTTTATAACGATTTGGTGTGTGTGTTTGTCTATGTGGCTTGTGTGGATACTGCGTTTCGCGGCGTGAGCGCTGCTGGCTGCGTCCGGTCGCCGAGCATGTTGTACACGTAATCCACCGCGACGCCGCTGTAGCTCTTGCGCAACATGTCCTCGATGGACTTGGCCACTTCGACGGATGGCCCGGCTCGAACAGGGTCGGGAACGTACGAGCTCGTGGACGGCTTGCCAAAGTTCAACGAGCCCTCGCCAAAGTACGTGGTTGGCCGGGGTTTCGCGGGGGCAATGGTGGGTGGCGCTCGAGGGCTGGGGGCGTTCACCGTCGAGTGGTTGGGCGTGGTGGGGAAGCAGGGGGGGGCAAGGCGGTTGGGGGTCTCGGGGGTTGTGGGGCCACTGTTCCAGTTGGGACCTCGCGGGGTTTTGGGGGTTTGAGGCAAGTACGACAAGTCCAACTTGGCCTGGGTACGCGGCGTCACGACAGACTGTTTCGGCGTCGCGGCCGCGCTGTGCCGTCGATGGGTGCACGACGACGGCGTCGTGGGCGTTTTCGGCAAATAGGACAAATCCACCGGCAGTTGACTGCGCCCTCCTGCTGCTTGCATAGACTCTTGCGACATGGAGCGGCCCCAAGACGGATTGCGCGCCATGGGTACGGGCGCGGGCGCAGGGAGCGGCGCAGGTCGCTGGTAGTCGGTGGCGTTGCTTCGATAGGAAACGTTGGAGATGTTGGACCCGTTCGACGCCGACGAGTACGCACTGGGGGTGCTCGGGCCATTGGCGTTGTACAGGTCGTACATGTTCATTTCGTTGTACGCCTGCGTCGCGCCAGAGTTGACGGACAGCATGGACAGCTCCTGCATCGCATCCGGGTCTGGGCCCTTGTTGACGCCCATGTTGCACAACGTGCAGATGCGCACTTTCTTGAGATTTGTCCCCGGCACTTCAATCGGGCGTTGGATCGAGCACTTGCCGCAAATGACTTCGCCACATGCGCGGCAGTGGTGACGATGGCGAAACAGTCCAAACGCACGGCCGCACACGGTACACGACGAACGCGACGTGGACGGCACCTACATAATACGATATGGTGAACGCAAAGGGGGGCAAACGAAATGGAGCATAGACATGCGTACCCATTGGGCCTTGTCCAGCAACAAGCATGACGTCATTTGCTGCTTTTCCACCACGCGCTTGAGCTGCACCATGGACGTGACCACGTCCTTCTCGGCGATCTTGTAGCTGAGTTGGGTGGGGCAATACCCGTTCGGGTCGAAGCGGGCAACGTGGTGCAGCCGCGCGACTTTGGTTTCCATCGAGTCCATGCGATAGATGTACCCCGCGAGGATCCGCCCGCGCACAAACCCGTGCGAGTTTTCAAGCGACGGACACTCGGGGATGTCGATGGACGACAGCACGCGGACAAACATGTCGTTTCCGTGCGAATCCACAATGCGATCCATCACTTCCAAGCAACAATAGTCGCGATTCGTCACCATCATGCTCGCCGACTTGACGGCAAACCACTTGATGCCGACGTACCGGTATGGGCGCTGTGGCGTGCGTGGGACAACGTTTTGCAACACGGCTGCATCGACGACGCGAGGGTTGAGTTTGCGCATGAGGCGACGGAAGAGACCGTCGTCGTGCGCAGAGTACGCGCGGCAGATTTCATCGAGAGATGCTTGCAGCGTACTCTTGCACCCGACTTCGGCGATGTTGCTCTTGTGTGCATACGACTGTGACGACGACGACGGCGCGGTCGTCGAGTTGGACCGAGGCTTTGGCACGTTGGAAAAGTTGCGGTAGATCGACACGCCTTTTTTCTCCATGACTGGAACCCACGAGTTCTTGTGATGGTCCGACAGAGCAAACACCTTGCGAATCGCACTGCTCGCGTATTCCGTGTACTGGTCTCGCTCCGCTTCTGTGATGCGACTCATGTCGAAGTACCCCTTGGGTAGCGGTAGCGCCGTGGACATGCTGCGTGCGTACTCGTGGAGGAAGGGAGTGAGCGACGACTGACTGATTGCGGATCGGTGATGGGCGCTCTGTGTGTTCAACAGTCAATCGTTTCGACAAATGCGTGTTGCAAGTTTGTTCATGACGACGGCGTGCATCATATCATACATATCAATACAATATTCAAGTGATAATCTCGTCGTATTGAAATTGCATGGATGGATTGAAGCTTGGTATTTGTATGCGTCATGTTCTCCGCCCTGTTCGTCCAAAAATCCGGATAACACGGCACCAAATTATACCACGTATGGCAGCGACACTTTGAATTTGTATGGATTTTCATGACATTTGACAAGCACAGGAAAGGTCATGCATTACTGCCCCAAACGTCCGGACAAGCGTTGTGTGGCGACCTCACGTTGCGTACACCTAAATAAATAAATATACTCTCAACTTTGAGAGGGAATTACATAATACAGTGAGTGTTCTTAAGAGCGACGCAAGCATGTATCGCCACAAAATCTTCCAGTCGCCTTTCCGCATGGGACAATTGTGCCCTTTCCCAATGCCAAATTTGGCTGTCATGGGGCATAAATCAAACAAACTTGGTGGCAACGAAACGATTCCCTTCGAACGGCACTGAACACACCCTAATGACGGAATTAAAAGGCAAACGAGTGATTATTCTAGTGCATTACTGGTACTCCTAATGGCAAGATTTCCCGTAATTACTTGCCCATATTATGTTGTGTTTGTTTGCGTACAGCATTACTCTTACAGTACATCTCAGTCGATTCATCGATATTTATGCCCAACGTCGCAACGTCGGGCAGGGGACTGATATAGTTCTGCGGAAAGCCACATCTCACACCAAGGTCAGCTGCTTGGTCGACCCTTGACTTTGACGAAGCTACATAACGTTATCTTGTCGCAATTAATAGGGGTGATTTTTGGATCCTCCTTTCTTGCCACTTCGCGTCCTACTACTGTACCCTTAGTATTTATTCCATATAACTACAGTACTGTAGTTATCATAGCCATGTCGGCGAGTAAATCCGTTGGGTGTACATATGCGACATTTCTCCCCTTCGGTAACAACACAATTGTTTTACTGTTAACCCGCTAGGATGATAATTTAACTCTAAATTCATATAAGCTAAACACTCCAAAGGTCCTTTCTGTAACGTTAGTTGGTTTTGTTCTGCAAACGGTTCGTTACAAGTACTATACTATTAGTACTACGTACAGTAGAACCTCGAAGTATGTACATCTGAAGCCTGGATTCCACGAAATATACTACTAGTACCTGATATTTTTCGAAATTAACCGCAAAAAGCCTGGATTCCACACACGAAATATACTACTGTATTACCTGATATTTTTCGAAATTAACCGCAAAAACGTGTACTGTACTATTAATAGTAGTAGGTACTGTACTACGATACATATTAGTACTCTACCGGTAGTACCAGATACTACTTGTACGGGTAGATTATTAACGTTAGAAACAGGTTACCATGCATTGAGCGCTCGTCCTGCCACGCGCATGCATATCATTTGGCGTGGCCAACCTTTCGTTGCAGGAGGTGGAAATACGGCAAATTTCTCTTCGACTCTTCCGACGTGGCGAGGTGCATGAGCTGGTCCATGCGGGGCTGAATGTTACCCATGCGGCAAAGTTCAATGTCTTTCAGTAGCGTGTGGCCATAACGAGAACACTCTGTCGGTCCATTCGCAGCTTCCATCAACGCGACCACCACCGCTAAATTCCGCAACACCCCCGCTTTCCACTGAGTCATGTAGACGTCGCTTCGCACCATATCCCTGATGCATCCATCACAAGTTATTCGAAACCATAGCCAATTGAAACCATTGATAAATTTCCTACCGAACGGTGTGCAATTGCTTGAGCCACGGAGGAGATACGTGGTCAAACGTTAAGGCAGTGGTGGACTTGTCTGCAATGACTTTCGCTCGATGCAAGATAAACCGCAGTCGGGATCCGTAGTCGCCTTCGTCAGACGACGCGCCGTATAATGCCACTAAATCTTCATGTGGAGGGGCGGTGGGTGCCATTTCGATTGAGATTTCAGGCACTGATGATGGCAGAGGCAATGTAGACTGGTCTAGGGCTCCTTTCCCTGACGTTAAGGCCTTTTTGGTTCGCGACTTCTTTGCATGATGACGATGTGGTCGTTTGTACGTTTGAAACGCACGAACCGCCGATTCCATCCAGAATACGGCTCGGTGGTGGCGCCACGTCATCCACGTTCGAAACGCTCGACCGATGGTGCACGAGGCGGCGTCTTGAGCGGCAAAGTCCACCGCGATGTCGTGCCGTTGCATCTCGATGCAAAGTGATCGGATATCGGGGTCGTACTTGGTGTGGACACTCTTCATAGCCATGGTCAACAGGTCGTCCACTTGGGCAAAGTTGGGCCGTGTGCTGTACAAGATCGACCGAATGTATAAGCTAGTTGTGGGGGCATTGGGGGCTGGGACTGGCATGGGTACTGCATGCAACGCTGAACAGGGCGACGGCATGCCTTCTGCAAACATCCACACCGCGAATTCCCAATGGCCTGTGGTAAACCACTTGCAACCACTGTCGTACCATGCATGTGGTTGATTGACTAGGTCGCACCACGCTGGTCCAAAGCATTGACGCCACAGTAATTCTGCTCGTTTACGACGTCCTTGCCGTGATTCAATGTACGCCTATATGACACCAAGCAAACGACATATAACATGTATATGTAGCCACTTGATGGGTAGCAGGTACCATGAGAAAGAGACCGTCGTGGCGATTGAGAGGTAGCGGCAATTGGTTCAGAATCGACTGTAGTTTACAAGCATTGTCATGACGACAGCGCTCTACACACACGGATTCAACGCACCAAGAGAACAGCACCAGCTTGTGTCCATTGCAGAGTCTGCCCAAGCATTGCCACCGTGACGAGCAACCGGTGGACGTATTCGGGTGTTCTGATCGAGGTCCGCTCCACCAATTGCGCCTGGAGGTACAGTGCTTCCGCCATGCGCCCACATGTAGCATACGCCCTGCGTTATTGTCAGTCTCTGTTCGAATCAAAGTTTATTCGTGCTTTCGTGTACCTTGTAATGTCGTTGGCTTGTGGAAACGATTCAACTGGCATCGTCGACGCTTCAAATGCCGCGATCAAATCGTGCATGTCGCGAGCATGTCGTCCTCCTTCGGTGGCGGCATGGCTTTGTTGCACGCAAATGGTGCCACTGACTGTCATCTGCCTTGGTTTTGCGGAGGTTTCATTTGAACGGGCACGCCTACTGTACTGGTACCGTACGCAGGTTTCGCATGTACTGTACGTGTACAAAGTACATTCTCAGTACATCGTACATTCCAGCAGTGTGTTTTGTTGGAGATCTCGACGATCAAATGCTGCTTCAAGTGGGGCGACTCCGCGTTGTCGTGGAAAGCGACGCGGCGTTGGCGTCATTTCCCCGCGGATCGTATCAAGTCGAGTCCAAGGAGGACGCTGTACGCACGCTATGGTCGACATTTCCAACGAATCAACCTCTGTGGCAAGCCATCTTCGACATGGTCGACGACGTGCATGGGCACTTGACCGTCGATGTGGACGACGCCAACGATATCGAATGGACGGTGCTCCGCATTGAGTTGCAGTTAACCTCGACTCCTCCGTCCAAAGCCACTTGGATCCGACGTCACGAGTATGTCCTTCAGCATTTCGAGGCAGCATTGGTCAACTCGACCCACCCAATCTCTGCCGCGGACGTCCAAGAAGCCCGCGCGTCCGAGTGCCACGTGGTGGGCTGTCGTTTGCACGCTCCATCGACCATCTCCCTCGTGACAAGACATTCGTTCAACTTGCCGTCGTTGTTCAAGAGCTTGGAGAGTCCCATGGAAGCGTGTCAAATGGCCATTCGCCCCGACCAGTGGTACGTCGACCGGCTAACCCACGGCCAGTCGCGGGCGCTCACGGACCTGCCCATGAATGTGATCTGGGACGTTCTCAAGTATTTGAACGCTCGAGAGATCGCTGTCATGAGCATGGTCAACTCGTTGCTGCAGCACGTGACATACGACACCGTGCCAGGGCTGCGCTTGACGTTGTTCGCGCACCAAAAGAAAGCCCTCAAGTGGATGCTTTTCCGCGAAAGCATGTCCAACCGCCAGCTTCAGTGCGTACCGTTTTGTGAAGTGTCCATTCCTGTACTAACTGGTTACGGATATAGAGCGTCGCCGCATCCGTACATGGTTGCCAGCTGGATCGACCCCGTCTTTGGCCGAGTGTTGGCGCCGGCGTCATCGTCGCAGCACTCTAGAGACAGCCGGGGGGGGTTCTTGTGCGATGAGCCCGGTTTGGGCAAAACCATCACGATGATCTCGCTCCTCTTGCGCACACAAGGGACCATCTCTCGGCCAGACGACGTCGACGCACCAGCGTGGACCGCCTACGGCTTGCGTTCCACGTACGCTTTCGTCCTCTATCTCTCTCTCAACACTGTATCGCACATTGTAACGATGTAGGAAACATACGGGGGGTCGACGGGTAGCAGCCAGCCAATTGCGACCGTCGCATGCGTCGTTGATCATCGTTCCAGACACGCTCATGGCGCACTGGTCGTACCAGATGGACATGCACACGACGGGGCTCCGCGTCCTCTTGGACGTCGGCAAGACCGTGCCGGACGTGTCCGTGCTCGAGACGGTCGATGTGGTTGTGACATCGTTTGGCCGGCTAGCCACCCACTGGATGCACCATCGGCCACTTAGTGCACTTGAAAGTCGCGCGCCCGAGCGGCTCGGGTCGGAGAACCAGCGAAACTACGCCGACGGCGTCGAGCACAAGTCTCTGTCACCGTACGTGCAGTTGCATTGGGTACGTGATATTGTCTTTCTTGTACCCAATATGTGGACTACTTTAGTGCAGAATCGCCAAATCGATCGATCGATTGTTTTTTTTACTGAAGTGTGTATGTCAAAACGTGTCTTGTGGTGATTGGTATTACACTAATTGAAGTCACACACTCATTTGACGTTGATCGTGGCTTCCTGCAATCTGATTGGCTAAATAATTCTGCCGATTCTTCTGTACATCATTTGGTTGAGTGTCGATTCATTCCCCATGTCGCTCTAGTTCAGAATAATTTACACAACAATATATTCTCGATTTGATACAATCGCGCCGACCAAACCGATCCACAATCGATCTGATTGGTTGAATTTCATTGAGAAGGTTTTGATTGGCTAATAATTTTGAGGTCATCGAAGGTAGCCAATCAAATAGACTTAAATTCCAACGAGAAACCACAACACAATGAAATTTCACCCGAAAGCACAATACATACGGGCGTTTGTTGTGGTGATTTTTTACGATTAATTGGGTCAACCATGGATATATCTTGTTGATGGAGGGTCCAGGGGGTGCAGATGAGGGCTGGCTTGTGGTGTACCAGTAGTATCGTGTTGATTTCTCTCATCAATGTGTATATTGTATACAGGTGCGGATCATTGTGGACGAAGGACACAAGCTGGGGGGTACCGCTATCACCAGCGCTATGCAGATGCTGTGCAGTTTGTCCGCCGACAAGCGATGGATCATGACGGGTACCCCCACTCCCCACGTAGCCCAAAGCGACGGCCTGCGCCACCTCCACGGACTGCTTCGGTTTCTGCAGGAGCTTCCGTACGGCGCCGACGACGACAAGCCATGGTAGGTCCACAAAGTATGATTATATTGTGCTTTCGAGTAAAATTTCGTGTTGTGGTTTCTCGTTGGTATTTAAATCGATTTGATTGGCTACTTTTATGAGCTCAAACTAACTAGCCAATCAAAACGTTCTCAATGAAATTCAACAACCAATCAGATCGATTGTGGATCGGTTTGGTCGGCGCGATTCGATTGCACGCACCCCCTCCCCAAATTTGTATCAAATCGACAATATATGCCCTTTGCTTGCTTGCATCTGGCTGTGGCCATAGTGTCCCGTGGGAAAATGCAATGTCATCTTTCAAAATCAAATATTGTCCTTTTACTCCAAAAATTTGGTTGACTTTTGTGCTGATTCGCCAAACCTACTGACTTTTGTATGTAAAACTCGTGCCGTGTCATCACAGTAACAGTAAATTAGAGTAGTCAAGTCATACACGAAATCGACGTTGAAGTCATCGAAGAATGGATTTGATTGGCTACTTGATTCGTGTTGTGTGTTTTGATTGGTCGTTCGATTGTCTGCCGATTTGGTTGTGCTCATTCACAGTCAATTGAGCACACCACTCCAACTTCGAATCGACTGGACAATATCATGTTGTGGATGTTTGTGGATGCTAATTATAATGCCAAAACCATGGTAGGATTCACGCGATCGCGAAACCGTTTGAAGCCAAGTGCATCAGGGGGTACTTGCGACTGGAGCAATTGCTCAATCGCATCATGTTGCGCCATGTCAAGGCGGACGTGACGAGCATCCCGCCGCCCATCTTTATCACGACCGTGGTGGACCCTACCCCCGTCGAGTTTCGCATCTACAACGGCGTCGTGGGCGTCGTCCGAGGCAATTTGATTGTATGTACTTGAAGGACAAAATGAACTCCCTGAATATCGAAGCTCTGTCGTAGGTAACCAAGTGGGACCCCGACTTTCCAGGGCCGCTGCACAAGGACAGCTTGCTAAACCCAGACAACCGGTACGTTGTTGACGTGTAGCCGTTACTACTGCGATGTATGAACAGTATTGTGCTATGTGTGGTTTCGAGTCCTATGTTCTTGCTTTGTGCTTTTGCTATATTGTGGATGATTGATTCGATACGAATTTCCAGACCCCGTCGAATTGAATGTATCTCGCCGCCGAATCGAATCATCACGTATCGTCGACGCTATTGGCTAATCCAATTTGGAGTGGATTATATTTGATTGGGTCTTACAGAAAGGACAAGTATATATATATATATATTCAACCAATCAGAACTCCAGCGTGATATAACCTATTGAGTTGACAAATCACGCGAATTTTGAAGGTTATAGTGAATATTCACAATATTGTGCTTTCGAGTGAAATTTCGTGGTTTCTCGTTCGAATTTAAATCGATTTGATTGGCTACCTCCGATGAGCTCAAAATTATGAGCCAATCAAAACCTTCTCAATGAAATTCAACCAATCAGATCGATTGTGGATCGGTTTGATCGGCGCGATTCGATTGCACCCTCCCCAAATTTGTATCAAATCGACAATACACGGTTGCGTGTTTTTTATTTCCCGTAGAAAGGACGCCATGACGGCCGTGTCCAACTTGCGGCTCGCGTCGTGCGGCGGCGGGACCATGCAAGTGCTCTTGTCGCAGAAACACTATGTAGAAACAATCAATTTCTTTGACGAGTTCCAGGTTTGCAACCCACGTACATATGCACGCGACCGACGAAAACCAACAATGTAGATGGATTGGGACCGACGGGTGGTGGTCCAGCAATACATGCGCGATGCCCAAGACGGCAACTGCACCGTGTGCGAAACGTGCGGTCGGGAGCTGCAGTTCCTCATGGTCACTGTGTGTGGGCACTTGGTCTGTGCCGACTGCATCGAAGCGCACGTGGACGCGCACGGGTTCGAGCGTGGGTCCATGCGCACGACGTGTCCTGTATGTGAAGCGTCGTTTGACTGGGAAAGCTTTCAGGTGCTGCAGCCGGGCTTTGACTACAAGTGGACTGCGGACGACGCGGCCACGCCCCCCCCCAACAATGCCCAACGCCCCCCCCCCTCCGCCTCATCGTCAGCTGCTACTGCTACTGCTGCTGTTCGGCCCCTCCACGATAACAACAACAGCAACGCCGCCGACGACGACGATCACATTTGGGCCAGTAGCAAAGGTCTGTACGTTCTCGAACGCATTCAAAGCCTCCTGGGGCGAGGCAACCACCCGCCCACTGGACGTGCGATCAAGTGCATAGTCTTTAGCGACTTTCAAGAGCATATTTACCGTATTCGGCCCGATTTTGCACGCGCTGGCCTCCGGTTCGTGTCGTTTCTGTCAGGGGAAGCCAAAATGAGCACGCGGCTCCAGCATCTTCGCGACTTTCGCGACAACGACGACGTCCACGTGCTGTTCATGACTGAGATTGGCGCCATCGGCCTCGATTTGTCGTTTGTCACGCATATCTTTCTCATGGACGAAATCTGGGACAAGAGCGTCGAAAAGCAGGTGATCGCACGGGCCCATCGCATGGGTGCGACAGAGTCTGTGGTCGTGGAGCAGCTTGAGATGCGCGGCAGCATGGAGAAGCTGGTAATAACAACCACGACTCTTCAACGACGTTGTAGATGTTGATGAATATTGATCGGGGGGGGGGGGCGTGTATATGTTGTATGTAGGTGCGGGAGTTGTATGCAGTGCCGCAGCCGGAGTGGGGCGATGGAGCTGAAAGGCAACATCACAAGGAAGGCGGACGAGCCGCCCACAAGAAAGCCAAGGCGAAACCGACGAAAAGTCTCTTCCGCGTTATGAACAAGGAGACCATGTCGTCCCTGCGACTGTATCATGTGCTCAACCACGTGCGCATGATCGAGGATGGCAAGTCAAACGATAAAGGTCGAACCAAGGAAGACATGCAAAATGGACAAATTAAACGAGCCAGAATAGGATGAGATGAATGTGTTGAAGGGAATTATACGTCTAGTTTAAGTGAAGGACGAGGCGTTGGTTGGACGGATGCTGATGGTGTTAAGGGGGATAAGATGCTGGGAAAGGACGTGGAGATTGGCAAGCACGGGCGAGGCATGTGTGGACGGAGGGGGGTGACGCTTATGGTCGAGGATACGATATGGCAAGTCGTAGGTGGTTGATGGCGTAATCGAGATATTGGGGGTTCAAGGTCGTTGTTGTCGTCCCATAGATGTCCCGATTGAAAGTACAAAGGGAAGATAGCCATGCAATAAACAAAGACAACTCTTACGTTGTGTGGATACTACACCTGTATTTTTTGACAAGGACGTAGTACCAGCTGCGGGAGTGGCGAAGCCCGTGTAAGGAATGATCATGTCGTCGTCTGCCACGATGATGTGCGTGGGACGGTTGAGCGGGGGTGTTACATGGCAAGCATGTGTGCAATGTATTCGTGCACAAGTAACGTTATTGACGTCTTGGGGTGTCTGTAGCCTGTACTTGTTGCTCCAGACGAGTCGGTGCAACTTCATGCCGACGGAATTACTGTCGGAGACTGTATTAATATATCGACTGCGAACTTACTAGTATTAATATTATCGTGACGATCTGTGATTTGCCGAAAGATTATTGATTTGCCGAGCTGCACTACCCAATAGAATTCAAGAATTGATATGATTGGATAACATGTAAGCCTCCAACAACTGGCACCTTCTAAGCTTTATGGTGGGGATAGTACAAACTTAAAGAGGTGGTCGACTGTTGTCATACGATATTGCTCTATAAATCAATAATTATGTTTCATCAAAGCCGTAAAATTCCCCTACTGAATTTCGGCAAATCACCGATCGTCTGTTTGAGCGCCAAACTTTGACATTTTATTTGCCCTGAAAACTCTTACACTTGGTTTGTATTCGAACGATGAGATAAAGCTCAAAAAGGGGAGTTCGACACTTCAACTTTCACGTCGAGACAATTTGAACTTCGCCAGATATGGTCGATTGAATGTAGCTCAAAACCGCCAAATCACAGATCCGTCACGTTAATACAGTTAGAGCATCCCCGCCGGCTGATGTAAACATGCAGTCCTGATGTAAACTGTAGACGCACGTGAATCTGACATTTCTCAAAAATTATGTCGATTTGAAGCTCGCTGTTTTGATATGATACTTTATTAAAGCTTTATACATTGTTGGTGACAAAACTATAAAATTCGAAGTACCATTTTTGAAAATTACAAAAAAATTTTTTCTGGGTGATGCAAACTATAGAGACACTTTTTCCAGAGCAGTTATTTATCAATTGTATTACCGTTTCTCAACACTACTTGGGCCATTCTAGTTGGCATTCCATCAACAAGCTTACGCAAACAGGCTTGGCTGATTTGATCCCAGGAATCACGAATTTGAGCCTTCAGTTCGTCCACAGTCGAAAATTGACGGCCATTATCGTAAACTTTCCACGCCGATTGACCCCAAACGTTTTTGATTGAGATTAAATCAGAGCTCTTAGCAGGCCATTCGATCAATAAAACACCGCTTCGTCCGATGTGCGCTTTTTTAGCTCGCGACACATGGGTTGAAGCGTTGTCTTGTTGAAAAATAGGCTCCACGACTGGGCAATTCGTACGCAGGTTTCCCAAAAATAGCAACAAGTGCATCTCAAGAGTGCGACAGTAACTTGCACTGTTTTGCTTCCTTCAAGGATAACAGGCTCGCTTCGCCCATCAGCGCTCATGTCAGCCCAAATCATGACGCAGCCACCATCGCACACGCGCTTGGTGAAAATTGATTCCTCCTTCCTGGGGTCGTACCAGTAGTATTGGTAACCATCTGGACGGTCTAAATTAAACTTCTTTTCGTCACTAAAGACGACGCGGGGTCACAGGTGAGAATTGCTCATCCATTCGGCTGCAAACTTGGCGCCAGCTTTCTTGCGGTGGGGCTTGAGGGATGGACGAGGTTTTCGCATCATATCAAAATAGTGAGCTTCATATCGAAATCATTTACGAGAAATGTCAAAAATTCACGTGTGTCTATAATTTACACCAGGACTGGAGTGCTGAAAAGACCCGTTTATTGGGTGCGTGCTGTAACAGTAGTACATCACTTCACAGCCAATCTACACCGGTTGGCGGAAATTGTAGCCTTGATGGTGGAAACTCGCGTAGGACGCACGCTGGTGATTGACAGGTTTTGGAGCTCTCCCCAGTCGAGAATTTAGTGCGGCAGGGTTGGCATAACGTAAACGGCCAATTGTTGCCCTCATTTCGACCCCTTAGCTTTTTGGCCTTATCTCATAGGCTAAGAAAAATTACAAAAATCTGAAGTTATCCATTAGTAATGGAAAGAACGCTCTATCCAGTCGTTCAAATTGCTCGTAATTTGGAGTTTTTTTAACGTAGTTATGCCGAAGCAAACACAAATGTTTTGAAATATGCCGGACCAGTTGTTTGCCCTCTTTAAACTTGACTTCAGTATGGGTTTGAAGGGTGACGAGAGGGTTGGACAATATTTTTAATATGAGCTCAAAACAAAACAATTGCCAAAGCTAATATACACCTAACCGCACCTACTTTGATAATATCTTACAGGAAATTATATTAAGGAGAAACCATTGACCAATAGAAAAAAAGTTCGCTCTGCCTATGGCCCCAAGCTAATCCTTCACCCCTAGCACATATAATCCCCTAGCATTTCGCCAGCTTCAAACTATGACCACCTTGCGCCGGAGGTACCATCGAACTAAACATTGTCAATTTTCATCGGACCGGTCATTGCAATTAACGATGCTGTCGGTGTCTCTGATCTTCTTGATGTAGAGCTTGAGCGTACGGTATGGCACATTGTAGATGCGACTGAGATCTGTTTGTCGCTCTCCTTGCAACGCGCGCTCGGTTGCTTTGATGAGCTGCTCATGTGTGTAGCCCGTCATGAGTGAAATTGCAGATGTGTTTGAATTCCACTCGATAATATGTGCGAGTTTTGCGCCGAATAGTACTTCAGCCAATCACGGCTGATTCAGTGCCGCGAGGTATTTGATTGGGTATAATTAAAATACTTGACATTGAAAACTGAAAGAGGGCAAAAATTGGTCCGAGGGCAAGAATTGGCCGTATATATTGTCTGTAAGAGCAACTCCACCCGTGGAAATTATCCAAAGCGACATTATATTGTCTGTAAGAGCAACTCCACCCGTGGAAATTATCCAATGAGATTTATTTGGATAATGTACGGATAATAGCGAGATTTAATGGAGTCCCAGGCAAAAATCTCAATTCCCCCCACCCATCAGATTTATTCTGATTTACACACAGGCTGCCGCACTTTGACTACATGTAGCCGCTACAAGTGCGGCACCAAATGAATCACACATGACAATTATCACATCACATTCAATCAAAAGTTAAAGTAGAAATATATCATGTCGCATGCCGCAGTTCGGCTGTGACAGTCTGTGGCGTTCAGAGGTCCAATTAAGCATTACAGGGGTTATCATAACGTAGATTTCCAATTTAATCGACTTCGTGTTCAGCCCAATCATACTCCAGTAAATCTTTGGCGGCATTTCCCCCATAAATTAATAAGCCACTCAATCACCAGTATTGATTTGGCGCCTCCATGGTCCCTCGACCACGCATCAGATCCAAAAAGCATGAGCTTGAACGAGCAGTTCATGCAGTGCTTGACGGCCAGAAATGAACCATTGTGGTAGCACATACGACGATACCGTACAAGGAATTGATGAAAGCCGCGCGCAGAACGAAGGTGGGGACCATGAAAGTGCTATTGCGCAGAGGCCCGAAACCATGCCTGCCACAATCATGCGAGACGGACCGGATTGCGTGGATTGGTGCATGCAGCAAGACGGGTACTCTGTCGATCGCCAAAACATCCTCGTCAAAGCCAACCAGCTCGTCTGTTGCCTGGACGCGTCGTTGGAAGTCGGTGCCGGTGAGCGCCGCCCCCAATTAAAGAACCGCGTCGCGCATGTGATCTCCCACGCAAGAAATGCAGTCACCATGGAGGGTAACATCCTGTTCGATTCGATGTCCGATGCCATCAAGAACCAAGCCTTGATTCCCGACCGTATCTTCAACATGGACGAAACGGCGTTCGCCTCCGGGAAGAAATCTAAGTGGGTGGTCGCCTTGAAGGGGTCTCAGAATGTATGGGCCAAAACGGTAGCTACGAACATCCATTTGTCTATTGTGGCCTGTGCCAGTGCGACTGGGTTTGTGTTGCCACGATTATTTGTCTTTCCTGGTGAAACGGTTGAAAATATATTGAGCACTGAATGTGATGTCCCTAATGCTGCTGTGTCAAGTTCACCAAAGGGTTTCATGAATTAGCATTTGTTTCGAGAGTGGTTGAGACATTTTTCTACTTCATTGGACAAAACAGATACTCGTCCTGTGTTGCTCATTTTTGACGGTCTTGCTTCGCATTATTCTTCGGGCATTTTAGCATTGTGTACTTTACTTCAAATTGTATTACTTTGCCTTCCGGTGAATACAACGCATGTATTTCAACCCCTGGACGTATCTGTGTTTGGCCCTTACAAGTGTTCGATTCGTAAAGCAATCTTTGAAGCAATGGTCCAAGACGGTACGGTGTATTTTGCAAGTATAGTTAAGTTAAATCACGGGATTTACCATGTAAACGATAGAAACTGGAGATTTTCATTCCATTTCTAAGACAGCGGCCTTGCGAATCGCCTCACATTCTAGACGCAAAGTGTGTTGCCTGCAAACGTCATCAGCGGCTATCGTGCTACCGGATAGTGGCCCCTACCACAGGAGCAAATGATCAAGCGATCCTACCTTTTCAAGAACTATGGCGTACCCAAGTCATTCGTGGAAGCCCTATGGATCGAACATCAGATCGTCGTTCCAAGAAGAAGGCAACAAGAAAACGCATTGATGTTGGTTGGTGATCGCTATATTTCCCTATATGATTGTCACGGATAATGAATTGGAGGTCTGCGAATTCTTACGTTGGCGTTGCTGCACGACATGGAAAAGACAGAAGTGGAACGCCACGAAGC